GTGGGGGGGAAATCATGGGGTGGGTCAGGCCTATTTTTTTTAGAGAAAAGGGGTGGGCCAAAAGAGAATTTCACGATGATTGGGGGTGGGTCATTGTGTGTTATTTAAAGAATCACACCCACTACAATTCATGTGGAAGATCTAAATAAATTCTAATGCAATGCTGGACATAAAATATAACACAACTGGATGTCACATGTAGCAATCCAACCTAAGTGTCAATGAGATCCGTAAGCAAGAGCAAAGAAAAGAAAAGCAAGTTCGAGCCTTAAAAGATGTACATTGCTATGACTGGAAAACACTTGTAGAGAAGGGGGAGCTTGACACTCTGAAAGTCCCCGAGTTGGACAAATACATTGAGCATAATAAACTTAGCAAGAACGGAAAGAAAATTGACAAAATCAAGCGAATCACAGTACACTATTTTGAAACTTCAAAGGAATCTACATTTCCTTCAAGCGTCAGTGTTGGTTAGGACAGTGATGAGAGTGACAGTGATTTCGTTCAGTGAACAGGAACTCCTTATAGGGGTATAGATTGAAGGGGGTTGGGGGTGGGTCACCTCTTATATAAAGTTATATGGGGGTGGGTCAAGAATTAACTGATGGGCTTAAAGGGGTGGGTCACGTTTTTTCTTTCATACTAAAACCAAAAAAATCCCCCCACCCGCCCACATAAATAATGACCGGTCCCCTACTGTAAACGATTTCTTCGCTTCTTATCTGACCCAGATCGGCGTTGTTCGCTATTTTGAAAATCAATGACCGCAAGCCATATCCTCGCTGGCGCACGGCACGTCGCCCGAAGGGTGAACGAAGACCGTCGCCCGACGGGCGACCGAGGCACGAAGTGCAAGCGGATCTTGCGAGCCCTCAGTCTCTTGGTTTGCAGTCTATTGAATGTGTAACGAAACTGTAACGCGGTCAAAATAACTTATTTTTCAGAGGTTTTCGACGGGTTTTGATGTTCTAATGATAAACACATCTCCTCTGGACCCTGTGCTACGTCACTCGTCTTTCACCCCGCTGTAGGGTTTCTTGCATTGAGCCGTTGATAGAACAATATAAGGATAAAGGAAATACTAAAAAAGGACTCCAATATAATGCGAAAAAAATATCTGTCATCCCGGTTTTATGATAAAGTGCTTTCAGGTACCAAAAAAGATTTCAGCTATACGCAAGGGCGTATGTGCGGATATGAACTCTTCGCTCCTGGCAAGACAACAGGATACAGTTACTACATTTAATTGACAATAAGTAGATTATACGTATAAATAGGAATGAATGGATGACCAGTAGTGATGACTATAAATAGAAGGAGTCATTGCTTGTAAATTAAATCAAAGGGATAGGTCACTGGAATATATATTATTTATGTTTACCTTGAAATGGTTTATGGAGGGATTGCCAGATTAATTTTTAGCGAAATTTGCCAAGGGGCATTTAGTAAAAAGACAATATCCCTTAGATCTAAAAAATTGTTAAGAACGTTTTACTTTTTACGCATTTATCTCTTTAAGACTGAAAATATGATAAAAAACCGGAATGTCGATCAACATTTAATAACCCTCCTAATTCCAAAATCCAGAAGTTTGTATAACTGATAAAAGACAGTAAATTAACAGCCTTAAATTTAGTCTTGAAAGGGTTATTCAAACATCAATCATCCGGCTAAGATTTCAAGGTCTCAGTGTCAATTGTCAACTTCATATTCATAAATGTTCTGTTAAAACATGTCATAAAACAACTAGAAACAAAATATATTTTGTGGATCGACATCTGTCCCAATTTTCCCGATACGGCTAAGGCCGGGGTGGCCGAATTCCGTATATAAACTTGGCGTCATGCATGCACAAGAACATTGTTGTACATCGAAACATCTCAAGCAAGATTAACCCTTTAAGCCCTAAGAGTGATCAGCGTCAAATTTATCCTTGTAATATCACTGCTTTATAAAACAGAGTGGTCATGAGAATTAAGGACATGATCACACAAGATGAATCCAATTGATACTTCAACAAATTCTCCCAACTACTTTTATTGAAAACGTACAGGAATAACAAATGAGAATTTGAATTTTGATGTTAGGGCTTAAGGGGTTAATAAATCGCGAAGTAAAAGCAATAAAATGAAACCATTTAATCCACTTCGGTAAATATATCTGGAGCTGCCCATTTTCCTGGCTTACGGTAGAGTTCGTTTTAAACTTCACTTCACTGTTAAGCCAGCCCACCTCGACCCCTGCTCGATCGCAGAAAATCCCTCACCGTTTTAAACCTTTAATTTTTACGTCCGGAGTCGCTGCGGCGAATAATGTTATTTGTTGTATTCGGTTTTATCTCGTCACTATTTTATCGTAGTCTTAAATAAACAAACAAAAACAACAACAACGACAACAAAAGCTAACCTGGGGAAAGTCGATCCTTTTGCATTCTGTCCCAGTAGTCCAAGAGTCCAAGAGGGTTGTTCCTAACTGCGCCCCTGATGGTGCAGATTGCATGGCGACCCAATTAAATTCGGCTGTTTTGTTTGATCCGTCGCTGTATTCATAGACGCAAGCGCGGAATTGGTTTGCATCCTCCGATTCCACCCAAATAGCAGCACCATTAGAATGAGCTGAGTTGTTAACTGCGTGGCCAAATGAGGCTAAGACTTTCACTTCTTTTCCACCCGGGAAAGGTTGAGTGAAGGAGATCAGTTTGCAAGCGAATAAGCTTCCGCCCGCTGCAGCAATATTGACTTTACCGGCCTTAAAACTAGCTGCTATAAAGAAAAAAGGAGTAGCTACTAGATAAAAGATAAAAATTTAGCTAAACAAAATGTGGTTTTTAATGAGTTGCAAATATAATTGACAAACTTTATTAAGATCCAGGCTTCGTATATATGCCACACCCCCTAAACTCCTAGCTGTTTGTTGGTTTCTCCTTCGAAAAATGGCTCAATTAATTTCCATTGTCCTTTGAAAAGTTCACACTTTAAAATAACAACAATCGATTCAGTTTGTTAGAATCATACCGCGTTCCCTTTTCAAAACTCGCCTTGAAAGAAATCGAGTAACTCATGACCTAGGATAGGATAGCTAATCAAAAATTGTCTTATCATCTTTCCCGGGCTGACCGGTGAGCTGGTGCCGGAGTGGAATATCTTTACATGCCGTAATAAAGTGCAATAAGTTACCTTCAATCCTCTGGGGAAAGAGCACAGTATAAGGTACACAGCAAAAAAGTAGCAGCAGAATATTGCTCTCTCCAACCATTCTGCTTCCAGTACAAAAGTGAATTTGAGATGCAAAGCACGCAGTTTTGTACGTGTTAGATCCATCGACCTGTCCAGACATGCAACTGACTTAACAATGTGAGGGGGAACCAAGCAAACTGTGGGAGGAGGTATTTCAGATTGTCACCAGGTCCCAAAAGATGCTATCTAAATTGAAGGCAAAAACACCCTTTCTCTCCTAATCCAGTGGTTTATACTAACATCGGTATCCCCTCCCTCCAAAGATTCCGCAAGTGTT